CGAGATCCCCCCACGGCTCCTGAGTGGGCGCGGGGCCGGCGGGGGCCACGTCGGGGAGACCCAGGGGAGCGGCCTGGGGGCAGCCGGGCCGGGTCTACCGCGACACCTGCGTCCTGCGAGCAGGGCTGCGCTCTGGCACCCGGCGAGATGGGGGGACAGGTGTGTGTGCGCGTATAGGGGGGGACCCTCAGCGGGGCCGGAGCGGGGCGCCCCGACGAGCGCGTGCTGCCTGCGGCCTGTGGGACCCTCCCTCTCGGGCCCCTGGACCCCAGGCCCGGCAGTCCTGGCATCCCAGGGCGCCCAACCCCAGGGGCGGGCCGGGAAGTAAACAGAAACCCTGCGTGGCGCTGCGACCGCGCGTCCGGCACAACCTGTTACCTCGCCCTGTCCTGGGCCTGACGTCAGGGCCTGGGAGGGTGGAGGGCTGGGGGCCAGGGGTCCTGGGTCCTGAGGGGTGAAAGCAGGAATGCCTGGGTCCAGCTAAATACGGGCACTGGGTGGGATCTCGGAGTCGGAGCTGGTCGGGGCCTGGGACCTCCTCTGAGTCCCAACAGCTGGACGGAGCCCCTGGAGGGAGGGCAGCTGGGTCCCGCGGGGCAAAGGACCCAGGGTCAGGGACCTGCGTTCTTGGGAGGAGAAAGGCTGAGCCCACTCCTGAGAGCTGAGTCCCTGGAACCGGGGTTCTGGGAAGGGGGGTCCAGGGAGGCAGGGTGGACTGTGGCCCTGGGGCCTTGGGACAAGGTTTCCTGGGGGACAGAGATTGTCTGGCAGAGTCCCAGAGCAAGGCGGCTCATTTCCTTGGGCTCCCTGCCTCAGTTTACCCTGGGGACATTAACGGAGCTTGGTGGCCAAAACACAGATCATTAACCCTTCGTGGCCCGAGGAAGCCGCAGCTGCAGGACTGGGAGGGCCAGGTGTTGGCCAGTGGGGAGTATCCTGCAGCCGCCTGTCCCCACAGATGCTGCAGGTGCCATGAGCTCTCCCAATGGACTGAGCTTCCCCTCCGGGCTGCTCTCAGGGGGCGCCTCCCCCAGCAGTGACGAGGGCTTCTTCCCCTTCGTGCTGGAGCGGCGGGATGCCTTCCGGGGAGGGGGCCGCGGACCTGAGGAGTCCGAGGAGCCCGAGGACCTGGCCCTGCGGCTGCAGCAAAAGGAGAAAGACTTGCTGCTGGCCGCTGAGCTCGGCAAGATGCTTCTGGAACGCAACGAGGAGCTGCGCCGGCAGCTGGAGTCGCTGAGCACCCAGCACGCAGAGCACGAGGAAGTGAGCTGGCGGGATGGGAGAGGCCAGATGGAGGCTGAGCAGATGGAGGTCGGGGGCAGGGGCCAGGCAGGTGGACGGGGGAGGACAGTGGGCCTGGGAGGACAAGGGAAGAGAACCAGGTTAGGGCAGGAGAGGGGCAGACAGCCAGGGGGATGATTCTAGAACAGTCCAGGGATGGCCTGGTGGGTTAGAACATGAACTCTGTCGTGACCCGCCTGGGCAACTTGGCGAGCCCTCATCTCTACAATAAATCAAAAAATTAGCCGGGCGTGGTAGTGCGCGCCTGTAGTTCCAGCCACTTGGAAGGCTGAGGCGGAAGGATCGCCAGAGCCCAGCAGGTCGAGGCTGCGGTGGCTGGGAGCGGCCACTGCACTCCAGTCTGGGCGACAGAGTGAGACTCCAACTCAAAAAAAAAAAAAAGCATGAACTCTGGGGGCTCATGCCCATAATCGCAGCATTTTGAGAAATGTAGGTGGGAGAATCTCTTGAGGCCAGGAGTTTGATACCAGCCTGGGCAACATAGCCCGACCTCATCTCTATAAAAATAATAGTACTAAAAAGAACATGAACAAGGACAGGTTAAGACCTGGGTTCAGACCCTTGCCTGGCTGTGTGACCCTGGGCCAGTTGCGGGCCCTCTCTGACCTTGGGTCTGGCTCTCAGCAGTAGAGCACCACCCCGGCCACCTCAGCCATGGCTGCTGGGCATCCTCCCCTTGACTGGCACCAGCCTGAGCACTTTCCATGCCTCATCTGGCTTGGTTCTTGCCCAGCTCAGAGATGGGCACAGTTCTCCCCTCCATCTAGGCGCACCTCTGGACCCTTTACCTGTGTCATTGGCCCCAGTTGCTGCCCTGAGCCTGAGCTGCCTGGCTAAGCACCCCGCACCCTCCATGGGGCAGCCTGACAGTCCTCTCGTCTTGAGTGGCCCCGGACACTGTGACCCGTCGCCTGCAGCCCTATCCCCCACTCCCTGCCTGCGGCCCCGCCCACGCCCCTCCCTGACCTCCCCAAGCGGGGCTCCTCCCCACTTCTGCAAGCCCTGTCCATTCTTCTAAACTCGGTTCCAGACCTCCCGCGTCTCCTCTGCAGCCTCTGAGCCGGTCACCACAGCCTCCTTCTCATGGCCCCCAGCCTCTGCTCTTCCTCTAGAGCCCATTCTCCAAGGGAAAGCCGTTGACCTTTACAGACCTCAAATCAGACCCGTCACTCCCCACCCACACCTCCTAGTGGCCCTGTCGCACTCAGAGCGAATCAGAAGCTGCTCACACGGCCTTGGAAGTCCCTGAGAGCCAGCCTCCCCCGACTGTCCTGGCCTCACCACCATCCCAAGCTCTCCCTGGGCCTCCTTTCAGTTCCTCTCACCCCTCAAGCTTGTCCTCTCAGGGCTTCGCCCCGCTGCTCCTTAGCATGGCCTCTTTCAGGTGACTGTCTGTTCAAACCCACCATCCTCCTTGAAAGACCCCACCCCCACCCACGCCATTTTCTCCACACTTTCCTGGGATCCTTCACATCTTTTCTGGCCCTCCAGAGTGGCCTGGTGCTCGTGAGTGTCCACTGGCCCTCTGGGCTCTACACGGCTTGGGGCAGTGAACTTGCTGGTCCTGCTTGTCATTGAGAGTAGCCCCTAGAACAGGATGAGCTCAGGTAGCACTAGAGAGAGGGAGGGAAGCCGGGAGGCAGGGAGGGTGGGCTTGGAAATGTTAGGAGCATTGCCCAGACCACACAACAGCAACAGAGCCAAGCACTGGCCAGGCCAGTTGGACTCTGAGCCTGCTGGCTTAATCCTGGGGCTGTATTGCTCTCACAGTATCTGATTAAGAGTTTTGGGAGGCTGAGATGGGAGGATCACTTGATATCAGAGATTCGAGGCCACACTGAGCAACATAGCAAGACACACATCTTTAAAAAATATTAGCTGGCTGTGGTTGTGCACACCTGTAGTCCCAGCTGCTTAGGAGGCAGAGACAAGAGGGTTGCTTGAGCCCGGGAGTGGGAGGCTGCATTGAGCACCGCTGCACTCCAGCCTGGGTGACAGAGTGATACCTTGCCAAGACCCTCAAAGAGAAAAAAAGGAGTTTAGGTGCCTGAGTTGGCATCCCTGCTCCACTCACCTTCTGTGTGTCCTTGGGCAAGGCATAGAAGCTCTCTGAGCCTGTTTTCTCATTTGTAAACTGAGGGCGTTCAAGAGCCTCCCTCTAGTGGATGCAGTGAGGCAATGCAGGCACAGCGCTAGCGCGGGCCCAGCGGAACACCTGCCGGCCACTGCAGCTGCAATCGAGAGCTGGACCTGGAGAGTGAGGCCCCAGGCTGACCCCGACTCACCCGCCCCCCACGCTGGGCATCTGGGTGTGCCAGAGCGTCCCCCCGCTGGTTGGACAGGTTTGGGGGCTAGGGCGGGGCTGACCAGGGTTAATTAGAGGGAGCTGGCCGGGAGGCGCTGAGGAGGGGTGGGCAGAGCCCGGGACACAGCAGGTGCGGGCAGCCATGGGCCGGGGCTTGAATTCTGCCAGGCTCAGGCGCCAAAAACGGCGCTTGCGACCCCGGACCCAGAAGCTCAGGCAGCAGCCAGAGGTGAGAGGGCGCCAGGGAGCCCCATCCCCAACCCTGTCCGGCCGGCCCCTCTTGTCTGGCCCGGAACCTTCTCTCTGCTGTCCCGTCACCTTTTCTCTGAGACTCTGCTTTGGCCTCTCCTGCATTCATGTCTGTCTCGGGCAGACTCCTCAAGCCTTCTTGAGTGTCTGCCCAGTCTCATCTCTGCCTCTGTCTCCCCCTCTGCCCCGACGCCACAGCGGCTCCAGCAGGAGAACCATGAGCTGCGCCGGGGCCTGGCAGCCCGGGGAGCCGAGTGGGAGGCCAGGGCTGTGGAGCTGGAGGGCGATGTGGAGGCCCTTCGGGCGCAGTTGGGGGAGCAGCGCTCGGAGCAGCAGGACAGTGGGCGCGAGCGGGCACGGGCACTCGGCGAGCTCAACGAGCAGAACCTCCGGCTCAGCCAGCAGCTGGTCCAGGTGGGACAATCCTGACCCCAGGCCCCTGGGCAAGGTGGGGGCAGTCACCTGTTGCGGGGGGTGCACTGGGCTTGGTGTTTCGGCTTGGCCCGGCTGAGGCCCCCCAACCACTCCCCAGGCCTCCCAGACCGAGCAGGAGCTCCAGAGGGAGCTGGATGCCCTTCGCGGACAGTGCCAGACTCAGGCCCTGGCAGGGGCGGAGCTGAGAACGCAGCTCGAGAGTCTGCAGGGTGAGGTGAGTGCCGCCTGGGGCCTGCTGAGCCAGAAGGGCTGGGGGCCGTCCCGGGCTGGCCTGGCACCCCTCTCCCAACTCCGAGGCCTTTCCCCAGAACCTGATGCTGCAGAGCCGCAGGCAGGACCTGGAGGCCCAGATTCGAGGCCTGCGTGAGGAGGTGAAGAAGGGCCAGGGCCAACTGCAGACCGCCCACGAGGAGCTGCTGCTGCTGCAGAGGGAGAGGCGGGAGCACAGCCTGGAGGTGAGGGGTGGGGCGGGCAGGGTGTGACCAGCCGGGCTCCTTGGGGCCTTCTGGAAGCCAAGACCAGAGCTGGGACACTAGAGCTCGGGCATTAGCCCCGGGGCAAGTGGGAGTCACAGAAGGCTGTTGAGTGGGGGAGGTGTGCTTTTAAAATGCATCAGAGCCTGGCAGCTGGGAGGCCAGAAGAGGGCGCTGAGGTCAAAGCTCAAGCCCCAGGACCAGGCTGGGGCAGCGAAGATGGAAAGAAGGGAATAAACAGAGGGAGCATGGCGCAGTGTTTGAGATCCCACGAGTCTGCACTTGGGGTCAGATTACCTGGCTTCATATCCCAGTGCCCCTTCTTACTACTGCGGGACACCCAGCCTCAGTTTCCCCCTCTGTTAGGTGGGATGGCAGTGACACCCACCTCCAAGGTTGTGTGGAGGAGTGAGGCTTTGAAGGTAGGGTCAGTAAGTGCGGGGTGGAAGTCATTAGCATTACAAGGCAGACCAGGCAGGAGACAGGGTGGGGCTCTTCCAGGCGGGCTGGAGTGAGGGTGGTGCCGCCACCCCCGCCTTACAAGGCGAGGAAATGGGTATCCGCCAAGGAAGGGCGCAGCCCAAGGCCGCCCAGTAACCCGGAGCGGCAGCGGGCCTGGGCTGCCGGGGTGCGGAGACAGCGGGGCTGCGAGCCCCCAGCCCCCAGCCCGGGGCGCGCGGTGCTGGGTGCGTCCCGCCGACCCGCCGCGCTCGTGTCGCGCCCCCCACAGCTGGAGCGCGCACGCTCGGAGGCCGGGGAGGCGCTGAGCGCGCTGCGGAGGCTGCAGCGGCGCGTATCGGAGCTGGAGGAAGAGTCGCGCCTCCAGGACGCGGATGTGTCGGGCGCCTCTCTGCAGTCCGAGCTGGCCTGCAGCCTCGACGGCAACCAGGACGCGCACGCGCGCGGAGACGCCCCGGTGAGCTCGAGGCCCACGGGCCCCGACCCGCGCCCTCCGGAGGGCCACGGGCTCCGCCTCTCCCACGTGAGCCCACGACGCCCTGACCAGTTCCTTTGAACTACAGACCATCCTGTCCCAGGAGACCCAAGAGGTGTCCAGCCCCCAGCCTTCACCTGAGGAGAGTTTAGAGCCCCCCAAGAAGCGGGCACCTCTGAGCCCCGCGGAGATACTGGAGGAGAAGGAGACGGAAGTGGCCAGGCTGCAGAATAAGGTGGGGAGGAGAGGGAGCATCGCGCTGGATGCTGAGCCCCTCCGGCTGCCAGCTTCTTTCCCACGCCCACCTCCCAGTCTTTTTGCCCGCTGAGGCCCGTACTCTCGGATCACCCTTCATCTCAACAAACGCAGTCACGCTGCCAGGGCCAGCCACCTCCTCCAGCAAGACTTCCTGGGCCACACTACCCACCCCCAGTCCCCTTCCCAGTGCTTCTGCCCACATCCCTCCTGCAGATCACACCACCCCACCGAGCCGTGCCCCACCCCATCCCGCACCAGCTGGAGGACTCAAAGGACGCTCCTCCAAGTCTCCCCCGACACAGGGCCATAGCTGCCTGGGGTGTCTGTCGAGCAGGCGGGGAGGGCTGGAGCCCGAAGGCCCATCTGCCCTCTGCCCCTGCTCTGCCCACAGACCGCGCTGCAGCAGGCAGAGCTGCAGGCCCTCCGGGAAGAGCTGCAGAGGCAGAAGGAGCTGCGGACACGGGGTGACCCCCAGGAGGCCGTGAACGGCGCGCTCTCGGATCGGGACGAGGCCGTGAGCAAGTGAGCCTCCCGCCACCCCCCACGATGCCACGGGCCCCGGGGCACTCCGGCCCTTCTGGGCTCCTGGTCGCCCCCTCTGTGACATGACCTGTAATTGCCCACGCTCGCCCCAGGGCTCTCTGATCTCCTTGGTCTCGGGGCCAGAGGTCCCCGCCACCCAGGTCCAGGACACCCCGTCGTCCCTCCTCCCTGAGGCCCCGGTGCCCTCAGGCGCATCGTCCGCCCCTCCCGCCCGCAGGGCCCTGGAGCTGTCCCTGGAGCTCAGCCGCGTCTCGCTGGAGCGAGACTCGCTGTCCCGGGAGCTGATGCGCACCATCCGCCAGAAGGTGGCGCTCACGCAGGAGCTGGAGGCCTGGCAGGTGAGGGGCGAGCCCGACAGGCGGGGACAGAGCCGAGGGGCGGGGCCCAGGGGGCGGGCTGACGCGCCGCCCCGCCCCTCGGGCCTGCCTCCCGCAGGACGACATGCACGTGGTGATCGG